AAAAAAAAAAACCAAGTTCAATGCCATAATCACCACACCCCGCTCCTCAATTTGTCCACACCCTTTGCTGCAACAACAGCAAAATTAATTCTGAAAACACAAATTGCTATCACACTCCCTACAAACAGCAACCAATGAACAAACTATCACTGAAAAGCTACATTCTAGATCAACAAAACAGTCCGCTCGCCGATAAACCCTTTATTACAGTGCTCTCAAAATATTAACAGGAAAACGTTGTGATAAACAAAATACAACTTAAAAATCAAATCAGAATCCGTAAAATTCAGCAAATACCATTATTATTAACATCTTAGAAACATGTTAATGATCTAACATATAACACAGAAAATATTAGATAGCATAAGCAACGTAAACAAATTTGAGTAAAAATGTACATCCACTAGATGCGGTGTCAGCACCCAAAATAAACCGTTAAATATAGAGTTTGTCGTCAGCAACAGAATTACGCTTGAATCAATGCAAACCAAACTCTAAGGCACCCAACATCAAGACAATCTCAAAACCATGAAAAAAAATAGTCACCGGCAAACCATTTGACACAAATATTGCACGCTTCACAAATAAGCAGTTACTGCTATCCATTCGACACCTTTACCGTAATATCCGTAAAAAAATTGCCTCAACATCCGGAAAGATACTGGAGAAAGACAAGCACCACTGATTAAAAGAAGCAGAAGCACCTAGAAGACCCAGTGAGACTGATGTGTTGAGCATTTCAGGCACGCAGAAACAAACTACGTTGTTGAGCTCGACCAGAAAATCAGGGAGCGTAAACGACGGGAAAGGAAATAAAGGAACAATAACGAGGTCATCAACATAGCACAACTATAAAAACACAGAAATTTCTTTAAATTTCACCATCAGCAGCATCTTCCTCCTAATTAACCGCCGTGAACAAAAAAAAGAAGCATGCAAAAATATCTGATTTTTGAAAAATATGTTTAAAAAAGCTACATCGATTATTTACAGAGAACAAACTTCAAGACCAAATCGAAAGGAGAAAACCATGATATTTCCCTTATTATATGGAATCAATCGAGCCGCTGCTGCTACCATTCTGAAAAACAGTTTAAACAACTAAACTATAAGTGACGTGGAGCCCAAAATACAAAAAATTAGCTTGCCACCCCCAGAAGAAATAAAAGTAAAGCGATGACGGTTATCAAATTAGTTAATCTATCTTTTGAAAAACAGGTCTTATAATTTCTTCTCTCATAAGATAACTAGTTCAGGAAGCAGGACACTCAACAAATGCGAAAAACTACCTCGCTGCAAAAGCCAAAATCCTCAAGCAAAGCTTCCATAAAAGCATCAAACAAGTCTATGGCGGATGTTAAAGCTAAAGAGCCGAACCCATGAGTTGCCTGAAAAAAGTAATAAGAAACCATTCCTCTCCTTTTCACTCGCAAAATCTTAGCTTCAGAAGGCTAAAGGTATGAGAATAACAAAAGTAACGAGTAAAACAAGAAAAACCATAAGATATCAAAAGCCCGAGCTCAAAGTCTAGAAGACCAAAATAAAACAAATTTAGAAAAAATGCAGTAAATGCAGAAGAAAACCCACACAAGAATATTTGTAAAGTCCATCTTGTAAATCCTTCTTAAGTATTGGCTCACCTTCCTCACGCCCATGAACAGGACTCCGGTCGTCCAAAAAAATTTGCCTCATAACTTTTAACATTTTCCTTAATAATGAAACAACCTTCTCAAAAAGTGGAAAAGGTAAAAAAAAGTTCACACGAGATAATCAGCTAGAAGAGAATTGCAGCCTTATAAGGAGCACGAATAGGTACCTCATGCCTACAGCACAGAAACGCAAATCTCTATCTGGACAGTTTAACCTCTCTTTAATTGTTTGTGAAAAATCTTGCACCGGAAAGAATTTTCTTGAAGCAACGTCCAAATCGAACGCCATAGCTTGAGCTTCTTCTGAAAACGAGGACTCATATAGAAGTAAAATCAAGAGTGCACTTTTACTCAAGTAGTAACTTACTGAATATAAATTAAAGTAAATAGCCCGTTTCTCTGAAAGGAAAGTATTACCAAAGACAGCAAGAAAAGTGAGACAAACACAGCCTAAAACAGACCTTCCACGAAGCAGGTCCATGTCGTAGTGCTGCCGTTCTTTCGACGCCCAAGTGGAACATACATTCCCAATTTTGTCAACTCGTCGCGTAGAGTTTTGCCTCCATCTTTTTCTTTAGCTCTAAAAGAAAATTATTCGAAAATAGTATCTCGGAAAAAAACGAGAATAAAAAGCCACTTTTCGACTACATCATAAACGGCACCTCCTTAGATACGACCCCAGCAATGAAACATTCATCATTTCAGGTCCAAATACGCGACGATAAACTTCTCCAACAGTCACAGTTAACATTTTTGGTTTTTGTACCGCAGTGCGACTGGGTACTTTGCAAAAAACTACTTGCGGAGATAAATTTCCCGGACCAACATTCATCATAATGCTGTTAGATACATCTAAATCGCCAGTGATGAACAAGTGTTGATCGTAATAAAAGCAGCAACTAAAACGCTCTATAACAATGAACAACAATAAAATGGCTGATGTCCCAACCTTTGCCTGCAGGAACCTTTTTTTCTGGGCCTAAAAAAGAATCCTTTTCTTCTAATTCTGCATTTGACACTCCTGACTCAGAAGACTGAAAATTTGAGCAACACTTGACTCTCGAAATTAATTATAGTTACGAGATATCCATCGTAAATGAATAAAAAAAAAGTAAAAATATTCTGTTGAAAAAAACTAAATGTCGAACGAAAAAGGCACATACAGAATAAATGCCACACTGCTGATTAGTTGGCTGTACAGGAAAAACGTAAGGCATGCCGAAACAATTAACCGACGCGTCCCCAATCAAAGGTGTAGCCAACTAGAACAGCTTCTATATTTTACATCTCCTCATTAATAAGTAATGCACGAAACACAACCAGAAATAATGTCTTCTGCTCATTTCAAAAGTAATCTTATGGAAGACTAGTTTAAGCCATACTTCATGTTGGAAGCAATTCGGCCCTAAGTTCGTTACTGTTGTATGCAGATCTTCAGCTCCTAAAAAACCTACGTAATTAAACGTTTAAAAACCGATGAATAATTCTTGAACTTCCTCAAACTTAGTTTTTTTTTTGAGAAACCTAACAATAAAACACACACAATAAAAAAAGTGAGAAGCTGCACCAGATTTTCAAACCGAAAAAACCCCAAAAACTCCAAAAACAAGCCAAAGCTGCTTTGTTGCGTCCTTATCAATCCTGCAGATGGAGTTCTACGCATCTAAAAAGCGGTAACCAGTTAGCTACACGCCTGAATAACAAAAGAGGCGAGGTATTTTATTAATCCGCTGCACTAATTCTCCTATTTTACACTTTTCGGAATGTACACCTGAAGCTCAACGAATGAATTTGAGTGTCAAGTCTGTCTCCAACGGACTATCGCTCTCTAAATCAGCCTGAATTTGAAATGTGTGATGGTGATGACGCAATGGAAACTGTTTCCAGCAACTTCTAGGCGGTCGCTTCAAAGAGGATGGATAGGCTTGAAAATTTATAGCCTCCAGACTTTTAGCAAGAAATATGATGTTTATTTGCAAGCAACTTAACAACAAGACTAGTTATCATGACAACTGATATTTTTAATAAAAAATTAAATATTGGTACCAACCAAAAAATGAGCGATCGTATATGTCACTTCCATAAGTAAAGAAATCATCATTATCTTGCAATCCAGCAACAACGTCCGAGCAGTTACAACTGAAAAAACAGCGTTTGCAGAGTTAATCTTATAATACAAAATAAACTTTTCAAAGACTGTGAAAGTATGCGAAAAAAATCCCGTTATTCATAAAATTTGAAATTTAAACTACGATAATGAGAACTGCTTATGCGACAAACCTAATTCGCCAAAAGAAGCGGATTTTAGCAAAATCTCCATTTTCCAAGATTCTACCACTTCACTTTTTTTCAATATAAAGAGTTTAGGGTATAATAAAAGCGTATGAAATTATTGGTAGTTGCCTAAGCTTTTCGTTCGTTAATCTCGATTTACCAATTTGGAATGTGCGCTTGGTCATTTTCTCGTGAAGAAAGCATTTTCTTGTCTATCACTGATAAACAGGGCAGTGAAAAAAAACGAAGGCCCTCCGCTCCGCCGCCGCAAAAAGGTGGCACGACAACTGAGACACCTTACCTGGTATTAAAGGTAAGAAGATTGCTCCACCAAAATGTTTAACACCCATCTTTATTTCTAAAACCACCAAAGGAAGTCTCATGCCTTCAAACGTATCACTCCCTACAGACCATATCGCTTTAGAATATTTTCATGCACAATTTTTGCGTATTGAGAGCTAAACATTCAACGTGTCTGAATTCACTTTTATGAGTTTTGGTGCAAATGCAGTAACTGCAGAATGAAATTACAATTCTTAAAACCTACCCTATTACTCGATATTTCTCGCCAAGTATTTAATTTCAATTTTAAGGAGCTTTCTGTACATAATTATATTTGAAAGTATCTGTTTAACGCGTCATTTGACTTCAAAACAACCATCCACTTCATAACTAAAGCAAAACACTTTTAAACATCAAGCACAACCTTCGTTTATTTGGAGGAGAACTGATATCAGTTTGCTGGCAAGCGTCGAATGGATACATCACTCCAGCTGCTAGTGCCTGAAAATTAACCCGTTAATCCTGTTGTCAGCGTCACCCAACTGTACTAGCGTGTACTCCCCAATCTCAGCAGCCAGCGCGCAACAAAAGGACAAAGAAGGGCAAGTTGGAGGCCGATAGGCAATGCAGCGGTAAAGACTTATGCGAGCGATTTTGGCATCATTTCCTTCCCGACGACGCAGTGTCAACTACTGGCCTACAGTATCCCGGCAATTGCAGTTATCTGTATTCCTCTTGAGGGCATTACCAACAACTTTTCTTCGCTATAGCGAGACAACGTGCGAACGTTAGTTCTTCAACTTCCGTGTATCAGCAGTAGTCGGGGTGTTCGGTACTGTTACTTATGAAAGTTTTGTTTGAGGTTTAGAACTGCCCCTGTTGCTGTTTGTTGGTCGCATATTAAGAAAGTACATTTGGAGGTTTGAACTACATAAATTTCCGAAAGAGGCTTTCGCAAACGTTATTTTACCACTGTTCATTTAATTCAGCAGTGATACTTCTATAATAGCCAAAAAACTTATTTCTTCAATTATATTACTGCCTTTGTGTCTGTGAGATGACTATGCTTCTGTATGGTCCGATAATGATGACTGAAATAAACTCGGTCTTGACCGTGAAAGTGCATAGATAAGTTTCCAGTGAATTATTTTTATGCTACTTGCTCTTATGCCGGTTTGTATTGAGCAGTGTTTCCCAGATATAATGAGAAGGGTCTTTTGAGCTTAACACAGTACGAAGCACCGAGTTTAAGAAAATTTAGCGGAAGAGCTTGATGGAAGTCACAGTTTTATAGGTGAAATCATTTATTCATTATTCCACTCGCCTTTAGATCTCCTAATTAGAGGTATTTAGTGGACAGCAAAAAAAAAAAAACGCTGTTTCAGTACACACCTCAAGTTTTAATAGCCGGTTCGGTCTTGACTACGCTTTTTAAGTTGCTTTTGGAATTTTGCTTTACCATAGAAGTCGTCAACCTTCATTTCTAAAAAGCATTAACTGCACTTCTGGTAGGTCGTTTGTCGGTGGCTTTCACATGATGAAAATTATGTTCAATGTTGAAATAAATGATGTGGTGAGTGTAGGCGCGTGTGTTTAAGACAAAATGGGAGGAAAATTTTGGTGTTTCCTTTGTATTCATATATTGGCCAATAGTTTTTCTTTTCAGATCTTATTTGTTTTCTTTGATCGTTCAACTGTTACGAAGTTTTTTAAACGAAACAAATTTTTTTGTTTCTCTTCGTATAAACTTCAAACACAAGTGTTTTTTGTGTACAGTTTTGCGTGATCAGCTTTTGGAGATGCTCGAATTTGTATCGTAAAGGTGATCTGTCTGGACGTTTTTGTCCCTATGCCGTTATTCTTTGTTCTCCGTTGCACGTGATCCACCTTCAAAGGAAAAGTTTGTCTCAACAGATCCGTACCGGCCTTCGACTGTAGGAACAAATTGATATGCTTGTTACGCAGCAGACGTTAAACAGGGAACAATAGGTTTTTTCCGTGGAACTAAGATTTATATTTTGCTTACCTCTGAAGTGAAGCAAATTAAATTAGTTTGAAGGAGGGAGAAACGAGAATGCAGCGAGATATCACATCCATCACTAATAGCTGTACTTTCTTTGTGGAAGACAGTCAGATAGGATCTGTACGCTATAATCTCTATAACTATTTCACTTTGAAGTTAGTTGTGTCTTTCCAAGTGCATTATTTACTTCGCCAGTAAATGTAGTGGTTGAAAAATATTCATGACGAGGTATTTCTGCGCATTTCTTACTTCGAAGCAGAATGGCAGTTTGAGTGCTACGAGATGCGAGGTAAGCCTGGGCGACCGGTTTATTACATGTAAAAAGATTTTGGATGAGTCAAAAAGAGGGGATGCATGAGTAATAATTAGTAATTATAAACCTGCTTCTTTTGTTTTCTGAAGACTTTGGCCAGCTAATTATTGCCCTAAGTTGTGTTTTGGTATAACAACAGAGAAGCCTGTTGAAAAACTTCGGCTGAATGATCATCAAATACTTATAAATGCTTGATTTTTTAGCAGGCTGTACAGGGTTGACGAACAAACATTATGCTGCTGCGAATCTGTTTATAAACCTTTTGACATGTCAAGCAATAATACCAATTAGGTGCACAATCGACACATTTTCACGTAATCGGAAGCATTGAAGTAGTATAGTGAAATTGCGATGAGGTTTGATGTGTAGTTAATGCACCAGTCGTAGTGGAAAGGAAACACGTTTTTTTATCAAGAAGGATACGGGTGTGCACGACAGGCAGGCAACAACTTTTCTACCAGGCGACATTACAGAGACTTTTGATTTTCAGCTTTTCTCCGATGTTTTTTCGCCGGACCTCAGCTGTGTCTTTTTGCGGCATGCCCATGCAATTGCTACAACGCATCATGAAACGCAGAAGTGTATAAAATTTGGTTTTGAGTTAGTTTAAGGCTGGCAAAGATCAGTGAAGTTTTTTAAGTTAACAGACTAGCAAATGCGATTGTGTTGTTGCAGACACATAAAAACGATAAGGGTATTTTGATGGTAAGAGGGAAAAATTAACGTTAAAAACAGTTAAAAGAAGAATCCAAAATAAATTAAAAATTTTTTCTGATTCCCGCAAAGTTCTCTGGCTAATGCCCTAAATTTTTTAAGGCTTCACACGCCCTGATATTTAAGTTAAACTGTTGAGGTGATCGGGGGTTTCTTCTGGAATTTTATATCAGGTATCTTAATTGTATAATAAGTGTGTGTGCCTCAAGATTCGCTTCGTTTTTTCGGTATTAGTGAACCTTGCGCGTTGTATCTAACGATTTGCAGTGTGTTCGGCAGTTTGGAAATACCAGCTTTATCCTGAAGCTTTACAAGCTGTGATTATTGTGACTATTTTGTAAGTTCGAAACGGAGTGTTAAATCCTACTGGTCTTTATTTCAAGGATTTTCATCTTTACGTTTTGCCAGTCTGTTTCTGTTTAGCAACATTCATTTAGCAATACTGTTATAGAAAGTGAAAGGAGACTGTTTATGGCTTTCTTTTTCGTTTGTAATACAATATTTGCCTGGTTACCAAAAATAGTTCCATTTTAACATTTTTTGGAAGGAATTTGAAGGTACCTAAGAAATATATGTTTGTTCGCTCTGATGCTTCTGTCAAGAGGCAAATTTCATTGGTTGTGTCTTTATGGCAACAGGCAGTATACATGTCACTGTTATCCATATTTATGAGGTGGTGAGCTGGAGCTGTCCCACGAAATCTGTTTGACAAATTCAATTACTTTTTTATCGAAGTGTTGGCAGTCTTATTAATTACTCGGTTCTAAAAAATACGGATTTTTAAAATGAGATAAGACTTCTTTTTTGGAAGGTACTATAAGTTTGAGAGTTAAGGAACTTCAAGTTTCGTCTTTATTAATGTGAAACGATGTAACTCACGTAATGAGTAACTCTTGTAGTGATTGACACTCGCTTGACTATACTGCCGTAGCCCAAGGTTTTCTCTCCTCAGAATCCGTTGATAATTCAGAAAATGACCCATGTTCGCTGGCACTCAGGCCGGGAAAATCTTCGCCTTTCACAAAACCGAAAGGCATCAGCTTGACGAATGATGTATACGTGGAGATAACGAGTGCAATCACTGAAGTGGCTAGTGTAGATGATGCAATGAAGTAAATCAGGAACCCTGAAAGTGGGAAATGTTAGGTGTTCTCTTCTTACACTAATCGACGTGTTTCTTTGGAAAACCAAAAGTTGATAGTTTTTTCCCGCTTGGAAGTTTTTCTGTACCGCTGATCTTGAGCTTTTCAACTCTTTTAAGTGGAAGTTTCAACCTCACTACCGTATCAAAATAATACCCTTTTTTTAACGGATATTTTGAGTAAGAATTACAGTTCTTTATCAGTTATTTAAGTCCTTGTTAGGTTGCTTACTGTAACAAACTAAACTTTTCCTTGGCTTTCTTTGCTATTGAAAACCTATTTTTTGGACTTCTGATTTCAGCTTTTCCTAACTTAACCTTGTGAAAGCCTTGGAGAAACTTTTAATTGGTCTCCGTCATTCCCTGAATTTCTTTTATTGCCTTGGTTGAGAAACTCCCGCATTGCACAGTTTATTTGAAAAACCTAGAATTGGTTTTTTGATCCATGCTGCTTTTCAACGCTTCCAAAGAAATTCCACAGAACTTGCAAACGTAACTTCAAACCATCAAATTGTTTGTAAAGTTAAAACAGATAAGTAGTAAACGCTGTTGACTTACAGTACGATAAGGATCGCCCGGTTTGAATCATTTTTGCTTTTTTATAGTACTAAAATGAGTATTTTGGAGGGCACAAATGAGTTGGTTTTTATTTATCTTTCTTCTTCAGAAACAAGTACAAAGTTTGCAAATAAACGTAAATAGAATTTTGGATTCACCACTTACACTTCTTTTGACAACTATTCCTTTAAAATTTGAATTTTCAAAATCATTGATTTTTTTCCTGCATGAAATATGTGCGACGTTAATGGCGTAACATGGTATGCCTAAAAAACTTGCTGTAGAGTTGCACTGGTCGTCTAGAAAGTGATTTTTTAGTATTCGAGTTAAGGCATTTGGTACAATTTCTGTGGAACAAACTTTTTGAATAAAATTATTAGTGGGCTTGGCTGCTAGATGACCTCTTTTTTTTAACTATTTGATCATTGGGATGAAGAACTATATGGTCCGCCTCAAACAGCACCTATTAATACGTTTCTTTCTTTTATTTTGTCATATTGTAGGAGCTTGTAAGCGACCTAAATGCTGAGTTTTTATTCAAGATCCTGCAGACGAATGTTTAAACATCGAAGGGGAATTAGGATTTAACTAACTAAACCAAAATTTCAAAAGAAATTTTATGTGTTAAGGAAAAGTAACTGCCACCAAAAGAAGGGGAAGTGGTTTTCTGTTATAGATCATTGGCGTTACTTTTCTTTTGGGCATTACATTTATTATTTTTTCATATTCATTATTTTGTTGAAGCTTCAAACTGCATTTTTTAAATTTCATTAAAATGAGTCAATCTGTAGCTTTAAATATGCTGCATTCCCGAACCTGAATGACACTTGTCAACATTTTAAACCGCTAGAAGCTTAGGAATTATTTGACTTGGCGAAAGTTGTAAAATCCGAAACAGCATATGGACAAATTCACAGTATTTGAATAGTACGTAAAATAATTTCTGCGGAATTTTTATAGAAATAGCTAAAGTCTTATTTCTAGAGAAAAATTTTTGCTAACTTTTAACAATACCCCCATCGTTGTAATGGAACGAATAGCATAGGCCGACGATATGTCTACTCCACCGAATGTCAAGTACTCCAGTTATCGGAGTTCCGTCTGTAAAATTTGTACGATTGTTTGCGATTCCGTCTATTCCCAATAGATCCATCTGATAGCTGTGCAAATGTGGCATTACTTCTGGAAAACCCACTGTAGTTCCAAGAAAAAACTTTCGTTACAAAAAAAAATTCCAACAAATACAAAGGTAAGCCAGATGAACACAGGGTACTCAGTACCAATGTCAAAAGTTTGCTGTTTTATATGATTTCAGCTCATGTTAATAAACCTCGCCGCAAAATTGAACCCATATAGCATTCCTTTGTCAACCTCTTGAAGTTTTCATCTAATTTTTCAACAAAGTTTAAAGCATGCAGCATAATTATAAATCATAATCAAACCAAGTAAACAATTAACCATGAAGAAAGTGCTTATCAGTTTCAGTCGACATTGACAGCAAATGCCCACCAAATTCTTCTGCACAAAGAGTTTCAGCTTCGAAGAAAACTTTTATTTTTTTCTAAAACTTTTTGCTATTCCATACAGCCTTGTCAATTCTGTCCATCGTAGGTACTCACCTAGATGTTCCCACTTAACAGAAGTTTTAGTTATTTATATAAGTCAGGTTTTTGATTCTTTTGAAATAACCATTCAAAAAATTACCAGAAACAAAAATACTAAGAAAGAAAAGTGAAAATTGCAAATGCTTATTGATAACAAGCTAGCTTTTTTGACGAATGAATTCTAAATTTTTTTTTTTGCAACTGCTGTTATAAAATACAAATGAATGAGTAAACAAAATATGCAGAGACAAACAGAAAAAAAAATACCTTACCAAAACCACATAGATACAAAATGCTGCAGTTTCAGTTTCATATTTGTATGTCGTAGTATGGTTGTTAACAACACAATTCCTAGTATCAAATTCTGCAAAATCAAACATATTTTGAAAGACCAAAAAATTTTTGTTGTCTGAAAAAAAAAAGCTGTTTAATTAATGGGAGAATGAAAAAAAAAGTAAACAGAAGTGAGAAAAAAAAAATGAATGAAGACGACTACTGTTTTTGATTTTGTCTGAAATCATTTTTTGTCAACAGAAACAGATACTGATCGTATTACGTGTACAGTTCCATTGTTTTTCAAAATTGCTAAACAGACTACTGATCAGAATTGCACCAAATTAATTAACAATGCATTCTGATTATTATTATTATTATTATTAATTTTTTTCTCTTGGAAAGTTGATATTAACTAAATAAAAAATGATAAAAAGAAACTAAAAACAAAGTTAAAAATTGATTTTCAAATATATTTAGTGGGAACAAAAAAAAATTATTTGCTAAAGCAGTTCCAATTGTAAAGTTGTAATTTGTGTTTAAAAAAAAAAAGCAGTAATAAGATGACGAATAAAAACATTATTTTTTTGCTTTTTTTTTTTCTTTCTTTTCTTTTCTTATCATATTTTTCGTTTCTAATTTATGCTGTACACTAAATTTACGATTATACTGCTATGGAAGAAAAAAAAAATAAATGAATAAATAAATAAAAAATGGAAACAAGAAAATTTTTAACATAAATAATATTAGAAGATGACAGAAGAACTTACTTTTTATGATCATATTACTGCCTGTTGTAATGCAACAGAGCAACATTAAACACAACCGCATTTACAGTGAACAATGTGATTAATGAAAAATTAAGCATATATATGCTGCGTTGTTGAAATTACCAATTTTAATCGGATATTATATACGCTACCCTTT